TAAAAGCAAACGCTTCGCAGCACTCGCGCGCTCCCGACCTGTTCGTCAATCCTGTAGTCTTCCCCTGTGAATCCCCTGGGCGACGCCGCGGGCAGCCCCGCGGCTTGCGGGCGCCACTCTGGGCCCGATCGCCGCGCGCTCCTTTGCTAGCCAACGCGGCTGAACGAGCGGCCCAGGTCCGCCAACGCCATTTCCCTGCGCGCCGCTTGCAGGCGCTGTCTTTCAAAGAGTTCGGCGCGCTTGTCGTGGGGCCATTTGTGGCTCATGGTTGGGCCGCCTATTCCCGTCATGCAATGCGCCCCCATGACGTAATCGAGGTCGCGATGATGTCATGTGAACGCTCTGAACAAGGATTCATGGACTGGCGCCTTAGACATGCCTAAGAGGGTGCGATCCTAAACCTCAATAGAGTAGCTGGGATTGTCGCCCTTCACTGCGGTGGCAGTGCCCGCGCCGCGAGGCCCATCCCCGCAGGGTGGGGGTGGCGCGCCTGTGCGTTCGCCCTGGATAGGGGATCGGGCCCAGCGACCGGGCCCAGTTTCGCGCTGGCCAATGTTCGCAGGTTTAGGCGTGGCGTAAAAAATGCGCCCCTGCTGACTTTGCCTTAGGCGCCGACTATCTTCCGCGTGCTCGGCCTCCGATTGCCGCGCCGCAGCGCGCCGGCCACCCGCGCGGCGTCGGGTTTCCCCGCCGCGAACTCACGCGCAGAAGTTGCGTGGGCGCTTTGCTCTGGCGCGTTCGGAAACCTGGTTTCAACGCCTGTCCACACCGCAAATTCGCGCGGCTTTGGCGACGCGGGCGCGGGCTGGGACACCCTCGTGACTGGGCTCGCGCGCCTCGCAATGGACGGTGCATGTCTAGCAGAGATCGAAGGGAAGCGCCTCTTTAATTCCTTTCGGTCATTGTCCGACCTGGTGTAGATCGCGTGGATCAGCTTATCCAACGTGGCAAACCCTGTTCCCGCCTCAATTCTCATCCCATTCACGCTGCTGGCGTGCATCATATTGTGGCTCTAGAGATGTTAAGTGCAGTGGGCTGCTATAGGTTCGCATGCCTCGAGTCTGTCATAGGTTCGCATGCCTCGAGTCTGCCGCGCATTTCTCTGACATGTTTTTGTCGGTCCGATGCCGCAAATTCGCGCGTGGAGATCGTGTCATCGCAATTTCGCGCGTGGAGATAATATAGTATTTAGCAACTGTTGAGAAAGGCCAGGCGGCTCGTTTTCGTACCACTCGTGGCGGCTGCGAAATTTCTCTCACATTTGACGCGTTTCAGCTTATCGTTCCTACCGAGCCGTTGCGCTCGCAGGGCTTCGGATTTCGGCTGGAGTTTCTCGGCGCGTCGTTGCGCTCATTGTGAACGCATGAAAAACGCCCCCCCCCCCCCCCCCCTCCGCCACATCTGCTGCTCATGATTGGCTGGCCCAGTGCCCGCGCCGCGATGCCCATCCCCGAAGGGTGGGGGTGGCGCGCCTGCGCTTTCGCCCTGGATGAGGGATCGGGCCCAGCGACCGGGCCCAGTTTCGCGCTGGCCAATACCCTCATGTTTCTTAGGCGCCAACTATCTTCCGCGTGCTCGGCCTCCGATTGCCGCGCCGCAGCGCGCCGGCCACCCGCGCGGCGTCGGGTTTCCCCGCCGCGAACTCACGCGCAGAAGTTGCGTGGACGCTTTGCTCTGGTGCGTCCGGAAACCTGGTTTCAACGCCGGCCCACACCGCAAATTCGCGCGGCTGTGGCGACGCGGGCGCCGGCTGGGACACCCTCGTAACGGGGCTCGCGCGCCTCGCAATGGACGATGCATGTCTAGCAGAGATCGAAGGGAAGCGCCTCTTTAATTCCTTTCGGTCATTGTCCGACCTGGTGTAGATCGCGTGGATCAGCTTATCCAACGTGGCAAACCCTGTTCCCGCCTCAATTCTCATCCCATTCACGCTGCTGGCGTGCATCATATTGTGGCTCTAGAGATGTTAAGTGCAGTGGGCTGTTATAGGTTCGCATGCCTCGAGTCTGTCATAGGTTCGCATGCCTCGAGTCTGCCGCGCATTTCTCTGACATGTTTTTGTCGGTCCGATACCGCAAGTTCGCGCGTGGAGATCATGTCATCGCAATTTCGCGCGTGGAGATAATATAGTATTTAGCAACTGTTGAAAGGCCGGGCGGCTCGTTTTCGTGCCACTCGCGGCGGTTGCGAAATTTTCCTCACATTTGACGCGTTTCAGCTTATCGTTCCTAGCAAGCCGTCGCGCTCGCAGGGCTTTTGGCTTTCGGCTGCCCCCCCCCCCCCCCCCCCTTCCTCCACGTGAGGAACATTTGATTGGCGGAGCCTCCAAACCACGCACGAACCTGAGAGCGGCAATTGCCCGACGGTCAGCCAACGGCAACGCCGCGACATTCAGTGCGAACGGCGCGCCGCAACCATGCTCATTGGCGTTTGAACTTGGCGTTTCATTGGGCTGGCACGCGGTCCATGCCCAAAATCATTGTGGGCATTAGCTTGCTCGTGCCAGGGCCAAAGCCAATGGGCGCGTCGGCCCTTGGCGGCGCTGGCGAGAGACCCCGCGCGGCGCCCAGGGCCCGCCACGCACGGGCGCGCGTCGAAAAGTTCTGATCCACCCCAAAAGCAAAGTTTAGGCACCATGCGGACAAATTCTCAACTCCATATACAAAACAATTTAAACTTTCCCGCAGCAAAAAGGCTCGCGCGGAAGAGCCCCGAAAAGTTCTTACGAACAAAAGAACGCGTTTATATGAATGCCAAGCAACTTTCATATTGGACCAACTGCCTTAAGATAAACGTTTCCGATATAAGCTTTTCCGCCGGCGGGGTCAGGAGGGGGCGACGGAAGCGGGCGCGGGAGCCCTCGGCTGGGCCTGCGGTGCTGCCGCGCGAGGGACAGCGCCGCCGTCGCCTCAAACTGTGGGCCGCGGCCGTGGCACGCGCCGCTCTGGAAGTGCTGGCGCGGGCGCCGCCGCGTCGAGCGGGCCCGCGACGGCGCCGCGCGCGCGGGCCCCCCTGCGGCAACTGGCAACGGTCTCGCCGACAGGGCGCCTACACTCACGCACATTCGCTGTAAATTCAAACCGCTGACATGAAAAATCCATAGTTGTGGGGGCTGGGCTCGGTTTCCCACTGTTCACATTGTTCCGAAACTCACAGCTCTCTCCTTCGGTTTCAAATTTTGGCTCGTTTGCCCAGCACCGAGTGTTGTTCATGGAGGTAGGTCGTGCGATTCTGTCTCCTGGGCTGCCAATCGCCCTGATCCTGGGCTCTCTTGGCCACAGCGGCTTTGACCGCAGCGCGAGATTCAGCGTCGAAAGCTGGGTGAACTGTGCGCGGCTGAGATGCCAAAGGGGGCATCATCCGAGTTTTTTCTGCAAAGGGCCCGCGTCCGCTGGTCCCCATGGTCGGCTCTCGCGGAATCTATGAATGTGCCGCAGAGAACTGTCATAATATCTTCTTCTGCCCTTAGAACGCCAAGTGTTATTGCCGGATTTGATATTGCAAAGCAATTTGCGAATTCAGCTGGTCACTTGGACCGAATCAGTTCGACGCTCATCCATCTGGACTGCGTCAATTCGACGCTCATCGGTATATGCCCCAGCCGGCGGTCGTGAGGAGTGATTATGTTGCGCGCTCTGGCTCATCTTTGCTGGCGTTGCACATATGTTGTGTTTGGGCGGGCGGACGGCCGGGGGGGGGGATATCACACTGTCGAAAGGATAAGGCAGATAACCGTTTCGCTTTCCTGACACTTCCAAATTCATCCAGGACGCGGCCGGCATTCCTATAACACGAGGTTTCCCTGACGCAATCACTTCAACGCCAGGGTCCCTCGCCGCATCGTCCGCGGCGCCGGGCTTTGGCCACGCGATGCGACACGCTAGCGGGCGCCGGTGTAACGTCGTTATACCCTGCAGGAGCGGCACTTGCATCGCCAATTGATCGATCCGTCCAAACCGTGGCGGCGACAGCGCACCGCTCGCATGTCATGGCGCGGCCGTTAGCGACCCCTTCAACATCGAACAAAAGTGTCCAACATCATGGCCTCGAAATTCGCCACCAGCGAAATCCCAGGTGTTCATCCCCCCGCGTGAGCGGGCCTCTCGGCCGAGAGCTCATGCTTACGGATGGGATGGCCTATGGGCCAAACTTCCCTCCTAGTCGTAACTGTGCCGGTCGACGGCCCCTGCTCACCTTTGAAAACGGCCAGGTTCCCGTCAATGTTTCGAGTTAGCAACCTGCCGTGAGTCACGCGTACACCCCAGAGAAGAGAGACACGTATTTACCGCTTGAACCGCTCCTCGCGATACCGACGGTGGGCGGCGCGCGCGCGCGCCCTTTTATACTCATCGCTGGGAGACATGTGTTTCGGCGCGAGGAGGGGAATAGGAAAGGCGGGAGGGAGGGACCCAGGCGGACTCGCGACCCCTTAAAAACCACACGGAGATACGCTCTGACATAAACATGCGCCATGAACGAGGGGTGAAAGAACACGATGCCCCCAGTCCCAATGGTACCGAAACCATAGCACAGCCACCTCTGGATCACAAATCCCGTCGGATCCCCTGGCCGTGTATGTCTGCGGCCCCGCCGCGGATGAGGCCGCAGGCGAAAGCAGAGTGAAGACAGCTCTGGACGATGAGAAACCAGGGATCTCGCAGAACCGGTGGGTCTGGAGGGTATATCGGGCACCGCGGCCGTTGCAGAACTTTCAGGGAGACTCGGAGAACGTTCGGGATCGCTCTGGGGCCCTGGGGGAATTTATCCTGATTCCACGCCTGCCTGGATTGAAACAGGGCTGAGATCGGGATAAATCGTTCCAGAGCGTTCCAGAGCGCTTCCAGAACGTTCCGGAACGCTCTGGAGCGGCCGCGGCGCCCAATACATCCTCCAAACCCGCCGATTCTCAGAGATTTCGAGTTATCCCGATCCGATTTTGTCCCGATCTTCGCGTCGTTTTATGGATGCTTCACCCTCCCTGGTCCAAGGCGGCAGGGCGCCTCGCACTTCTCGATCGCCACGAGCGCCAGGATCACGAGTCCGGCGTCGCAGTGCGCACGGACTGTAGCGCGGTAGTCCCTTGCGGCCAGGCGAGGAACGAAGAAGGAAAGGAATAAGGGAAAGAAAAGCGGCGACAAAAAGAGGAGGTAGAGGAACAAAGGGAGGGAGGGAGAGAGGACAACGAAGAGAACAACACCAAGAGGAAGAAGACGAGTGACGAGAAGGTGCTATCCTTAGTGGCAAGATCAATGGTAGTAATAATCGTAATCGCAAGCATGTTTGCAGGTGTTGCGGTAGTGCAAGTAGAAGTGGTAACAGAAGTCACCGTAGTGGGAGTAGTGGTGATATAGTGCAAGTATCCATTTTACTAGTAAAAGTAATACGAGTGGTAATATGAATAGTACTCGTAGTGCGAAACGGGATGGTGGTACAAGTGGTCGTACATTCCAGAGGTAGTACTAGTAGTTGTAGTAGTGGTAGTTGTTGACGTAGTAGTACTGGTAATAGGAAGCCTGGTGCTCGTAGTAGTCGTAATAGTACTAGTAGTAATAGTAGTCGTCGTAGTAGTGGTGGTGCTTGTGGTGGTAGTAAATGGCAGTAGTGATAATAGTATTCGTGGCAACATTACAAGAACTAGCAGCAAATCTGAATTACATACGTCAGAGAATTAAAGTCGCCGTAGTAGTAGTAAGAATGATGAGCATAGCGGTATTCGGAGTCACAGTAGTAGTACTAGTACTAATGGTAGTAGTCGTAGAAGAAGTAGTAGTCGTCGTAGTAGTAGTAGTAGTAGTACAAGTAGTAGTGCAAGCAGTAGTAGTACAAGTAGTAATACAAGTAGCAGTACTCGTGGTGGTTGTAGTCGCCGTCGTAGTCGTTGTAGTCGTCGTCGTAGTGGTAATGGCGCTGGTCGCAGTTAATAGTATTATGAGCACTTGTAGTAGTAGTGGTCGCGTCGCGTACTCGCAAACGTAGTTGTCGTCGTAGCAGTCGTACTGTCGTCGTCGTCGCAAACATAAGAATAATGGTAGTCGTTGTCGTACTCTTGGTACTGCTACGAACTAATAAGAGTCGTGGGAATACGCGTACTAGCACTAGTCGTATTAGTAATAGTGATAGTAGACTCATCATTCGCAGCCGTAGTAGTAGTAGCAATGGTAGCGGTAGTCCTAGAATAGGAATAGTAAACATCGTAAAACCTGTTAGTCGTAACAGTCGTAGTCGTCGTCGTAGAAGTCGTAGTAATGGCAGTACTAGTGGTGGCAGTAGTAGTCGTTGAACGGCTACTATTCGTACTAGTAGTGCTACCTATATGTATAGCACTAGAAATACTAGTAGTGGAAGTAGTAGTAGCACTGGAACAATCATCAGTAGTAGTAGTAGTAGTAGTAGTAGTAGTAGTAGTAGTAGGGGTAGTAGTCGTCGTAGTAGCAGCTAACGTATGGGTATGATTGGAAATCGTACGAGAGTCGCACTAGTGTTAATAGTAGTCGTAGTACTAGTAGTAGTCGCAATAGTAGTAGTAGTAGTAGTAGTAGTAGTAGTAGTAGTAGTAGTAGTAATAGTAGTAGTAATCGAAGTAGTATTAGTAGTAGCAGTAGTAGTCGTAGTAGTAATAATGCTCGTGGCGCGGTGGTTGTAATACTGAGAGTATTAGTCGTAGTAGTCGTAGCAATAGTAGCCGAAATAGCGGCGGTCGCAAAGAAAGAGAAGAGCTGCCGCAAATGCAACCGTAGTCGTGATACCGAATGCAATGGTTGTAGTTGCAGTAGTAGTAGTAGTAGTAGTAGTAGTAGTAGTAGTAATGGTGGCACTAAGTGGTATCAGTAGCCGTAGTAGTAGCAGCAGCAGCAGTAGTAGAAGTAGTAGTAGTAGCTGTAGTAGTAGTAGTAAGAGTAGTAGAAGCAGTAGTAGTATGAGTAACAAAAGTAGTAGTGGTAGTAGTAATCGTCGCCGTCGCCAGAGTAGTAGTAGTGGTAGTAGTAGTAGTAGTAGTCGTCGTAGCAGTGGTAGGGGTAGTAGTGGTAGTAGTGGTAGTAGTAGGAGTAGTAGTAGTAGTAGTAGTAGTAGTCGTCGTACCAGTATTAGTAGTAGTAGTAGTAGTAGTAGTAGTAGTAGTAGTAGTAGTAGTAGTAGTAGCACTAGTCGTCGTCGTAGTCGTATTAATAGTAGTAGTAGTAGTAGTAGTAGTAGTAGTAGTAGTGGTAGTAGTAGTAGTAGTAGTAGTAGCAGTAGTAGTCGTAGTAGTAGTAGTAGTAGTAGTAGTAGTAGTAGTGGTGGTAGTGGTAGTAGTAGTGGTAGTAGTAATGGTAGTAGTAGTGGTAGAAGCACAAGTAGTAGTAGTAGTAGTAATAGTAGGAGTAGTAGTAGTAGTAGTAGTAGCAGCAGCAGTAGTAGTAGTAGTAGTAGCAGTAGTAGTAGTAGTAGTAGTAGTAGCAGCAGCAGCAGCAGCAGCAGCAGCAGCAGCAGCAGGAGTAGTAGTAGTAGTAGTAGTAGTAGTAGTCGTGGTGGTGGTGGTGGTGGTGGTGGTGGTGGTGGTGGTGGTGGTGGTGGTGGTGGTGGTAGTAGTAGTAGTAGTAGTAGTAGTAGTAGTAGTAGTAGTCGTCACCGTAAGCATACAATTGGACCTGGCTGATGAACGTAGCTATGGACTTCCATCCGACACACACCGCGTTCGCCAAGAACTGCACCATGCACGACAAGCAGAGGACCCCGAAGGACGAGGATCAGGAGGAATTCGAACACACGTCTCACCTGGGGGTAAGACGCTCTTGCCGTCCAGGGTGACGGAAGGGACTGCACATTGTTGGCACGTGTCTTCTCCCGAGAGAGGCGGCTCGCGCGCACAGGTGTCAAATTTGTTCGGTCAGGCCCCGTCGGCTCTGGATTCCAGGGTCTACCGAAATGCACCATGCGGCCACGTGTCGTGTAGTTGCGGCCCTTTCTGGCAGATGCGCGACATCGGGCCGCGTGTGCAGCCGAGGAGCGCGCAGCGACGACTGTTCGCCCGAGGCACCTGTGGAGTAAGTCGTGGAGGGTGCCCTGCAAATACCCGGGGGGGGGCAGCTCTCATTGCCAGTGAGAGGAGGTCCACGTCCACTGGTGACCAGGACTCGAACCCTCTCGGATGTGGCGCGAGGGGCTGGCTTCGTACATTCAACACGGGCAAGCTCACACTTGGGCCACAAATGGAGAATCCTTGCAGCCAACTTGCAGACGGCACGCGAGAGCTGAACGTACCCCGACTTTCTGTCTAAAGTTCAGGGTCAGGTTCTGGCTGCTGCTTTGCTCCTAGCTTTGCCACTTCGTCCGCAAAGTGATTCCTTGGATGGCGGTAAGCTTCTTCAGAGATGCCATCCTTCTTTGAGGCTGTCCCACTTGACCTATTAAATCATTCCAACAGGTGCTTGAAACAGCTGCCGCCCAAGACCATGTCTCCGTTCAGGTCCCCCAGGTCCCCCCACCCTTCTCGACGCCAAATGCTAGCATTACTTCGCATATCGTTCCGTCCATCCGGGGCTTCACCAGGGGACTGGGCATGAAATCTCCACGGTGAAGGAAGGCTCCTGTCAAGAAAACGACGAGGTCAGCCGAGTTGCTAGTGCGCACGGTCGACGAGATCTTGATTGACAACTTCCTTCCTTCCTTCCCAGACTGAAGTGCGCTCCCAAAACCTGTGGAACAGCGTGTCGGGCTCGAGCCCGCCCCTTGCACAAAGAGGTGACACCGCACATCCCGTAGCCACTGCTCTGGCCTGGATCCATATCGCACCGCAACGCAAAGACCGCAAGCACCCGCCCCCAAGACGCGTGAACGCGCTGGACCCGAGCGACAGCCGGATCACGCCGAACCAGTGGCCCGGGATGCGAGCGGCAGGCGGGGGTGGGAAGCCGAGCCCGCCCCAGCCCCGGGGTCAAGAAAATCAATCCCGCTGGACCTAGCCGCCTCATGACTGGTGCCACGACTTCCGTCGCCAGCACCGCGTTCTGACACCGAATGTCGCGTCGCAAATCCAACGCCAGGTGGGGAGGAGGAAACGGTAGCGGAGCCACCGCTCACAGCAGAAGGTGGGGGGCATCCCCACGTAAAAAAATCACCGGCCACCAGCCGAGCGTGCGCCTGCCGCTCGAGCTGTCACAACACCGCTGCGCACGGCAGCATCTTTAGAGCAGGGCAGGGGCCAGGGAGCGTGCAGGACACCTCCCGACCGAAGACGCCCAAGAAACACGAGCATCCAGACATGCTCCACCCCACCCGCCAGGAGGAGGAGGAGGAGGAGTAGGAGGAGGAGGAGGAGGAGGAGGAGGAGGAGAAGGAGTAGGAGGGGAGACTTGCAGGGTACGGTTCCACGGGCCGCTGAGCCAGAACCGCCGAACGCATGCCCAGAGCTGCTTCTTCGCGGAACGGTCCTGACGGCCCTGGGAAGCGCTCCTGGGAGGCAGAGTTGCTTCGTCACAGTGGGTTTTTGGAGAAGAGGAGGCAGGGGGCGACCGCAACACTTCGCACGTGCGCGTGTGCACTGCGCGGCAAAGGGCGGCAAGATCGGTATGAGGGTGCTCCAACATGACACCTATATCTGTTTCATAAGTGGCGGCCGCAGACATATGAGGATGCCCGGGAGACTAGCCTGCAACTGCGCAGCGAAACAACGGCAGAGCCAACCCATTACAACTTTCGGGTCATAAGTCGGATCTCTTGCGGCCGCTCGGGACGATGCGGGCACCCCCTGGACGCTATCGGCGCGGCGCAGCTGCTGGAAAGCATCCCGAGGTTGGAAACTCACCGAGAACAGACGAATCCGTCCAGAAGCCTCCCCCAGTCCAGACGGAGCCGACGCGAGGGCTCTGTCTTGCGGGTCTCCAACCCCCTTCCTTCCGAAGACCCCGCGCGGGCCTGAGGCTCACATGGGAGGTGCTGGCGACGGCCTGCATGCTGAGCGTGTTCACGTTGACCTGGGCCCCCCTTCGCTTCCTCCCTCCGCGCCCTCCTGCGGCAGGCAGCCTGCAGTGCCACCCTGAATGACGCTCAGGGACACAAATAAATGGACACAAATCTCCGGATACCCATCATGTTCCATGTGTTCTCAATGTTCGTCTTCCCCTCCACTTCCCATATTTTGGACCTTCTCCAAGAGATCGACGATGATTTGTCTCTGCGTGTCGTCTCACGCCTGACACCCGTTGAAAGCTGCTGCATGTGGCAAGAGGCCGTGCCGTGAAATGCCTGAGCGCTGGCTTCTGACGCCGCGCTGATCGGTCGGCCTCGAACGAACGCGACGTTGTTCGATACCCGCCGAAGCTGGGCCTCCGCCTGCGGTCAGCCTTGAACGCCCGCGCCGGGTGGCCGCCGCGTCGGCACGACACGAGCCTGCACCAGGGGAGGAAGATGCAGAGCCATGCACTTCTGGAGCTCCGCACCCAGCTTCTGGGATGCGCGCTGGCTCCACCTCCCCGGCGCCGGAGGCGCGGGAGGCGCCGACAGAGGAGGGCCCAGCGCCGACCTTAGAAATACGCGCGGGGCTCCGGCAGTGTATGTTCATGTCTTCGTCGTAGTTTTCCGAGGCACCATCACTCCCTCCTGTCCCCCCGTTTTCCCGCCTCCTCGACCTGAGTGGTGCGACCACAGGAGCCCGACGCGGCGTTCGGCGCATCGCTCAGACCCGCGCCGCGACCTATGTGGCGACATCCGAAACCTGCCCCCACCGACCATCGATTGTCCTGAATCGATGTGGAGATGTCGCCCCACGTGGCGACGAATTCCAAACCCTACCCCCGCCTCCCATCAATGTGCCTGAATCGCTGATAGGCGAAGGTAGGGTTCGGATTCCGCCGCCGACCACCACAGGTGGTTCGGATTTCGCCGCCGATCACAACCTCGACGCTCTTCCTCTCCACGCCCGTCGCCCCTCCCAGCGCCCACCTCATGCGGGCACACGCTGACATCGATTCGGCATCCGTGGATCTGGCACGTGGGCGCCAAATCCACGGATCGGCGAAAGAACCCCCGACTTCCACGACTTCGTAGACCCCAGGAGGGCCGACCAGTGGCTTCAACATCGGGAGACATGGATCTGTGCTACGTGTAGGAATTGGCTACAGCAGCGAGAAGAAAGTAACAGAGAGGGCGCAATATATATATATATATATATATATATATATATATGTACATATATGCCCTGAATGTTACCAGCACCGTTCTAATTCAGTAGTGGTTAAACATCGAGGGCATGTATATTACCTATGTATATCTCTATGTATACGACAGATGCTGAAGAGACTTTTCCTTGCAGTATTTGCAGGTGCCGCCGATGCGGCTCCTCCAGTGAACCCTGCTCCAGAGGCTTTCAAACAGATTGCACTTGCACGTGCCCGAACAGTGGTCGGGCCCTACAGCTACAGAGTGCCCGGGCAGGAAGGTACGCCAAAGGAACGGCGGACTCCGCTCGAATTTTGAAGCCCCCCATGCCCCTCGCCAAAATCGTGAAGAAGCTGCAAGGGGCGAGGCGGCCAGCGTAGGGCTGCTGGCTCCAGGGGGCGAGCCGGCCAGCGTAGTGCTGGTCCTCCTCCCCCTCCCCCCGTCCCCTCCTCCTGCGTCTGCTCCTCCCCCTCCTCCTCCTCCTCCTCCTCCTCCTCCTGCTCCTCCTCCTCCTCCTCCTCCTCCTCCTCCTCCTCCTCCTCCTCCTCCTCCTCCTCCTCCTCCTCCCTCCTCCTGCTCCTCCTCCTCCCTCCTCCGGCGGCGGGGGCGGGACGGTGCCGCCGCGGAGGTCGCCCACGAAAGTCAGCACGTCCTGCGGGGGGCGGGGGTTGGGGGGGCTCTGGTGCGGGAAGAGGGAGGCGGGAGGGAGGTGAAGAGGAGGAGAGGACGGAGAAGAGGGGAGAGGCACGGGAGAGGAGCGGATCAGCACCAGCAGCAGGAAAAGGATGACGAGGAGGAGTAGGAGGAGGAGGAGGAGGAGAACGAGGAGGAAAGAGGAGCAGGAGAAGAGGAGGGGAGAGAGGGAGGATCTGCCCTTGACAGGCCCGTCGGGGGCCACCAATTCAAGAGGGGTGGGGGGGAACAGGGAGGGAGACCGGGGAGCGGGAGTGGAGAGAGGAGGGTTGGGAGGGAGAAGGGGTCGAGGAGGCGAAGGCACTCTACGGCGCCGAGCTGTACGTGCACGTGGACGGATTCGAGGCGACGTTCGACAGGATCCAGGAGTGCTGGGCCAGGCAGGCGCTGGCGGTCCGGGGGCCCATCCCGCGCGCACTGCTACTGCGGCACATGGCGTGGCCAACGCGGCTGGCCACGACCGTCAGGGAGCGTGCCATCCGCCTGCGCGCCCGTGCCCACACCGACCCCAGGTACGGGACGGCTCGGCAAGTGCTTCTCGTGGCCCAGGAGGAGCAGGGCACCTGGTCGGCGCACCTGCGCGACCTGGCGGCGAGCTGGGGCGCCCCGCCACCGCCGACCCCCCCCCGCGGGGCCAGTGGCGAAGGACCGATTCCGCAGCGCGCTCCGGGCTGCCGCCCGGGCGCAGGAGGCCAAGTGGGCCCAGGACCGGCCACAGGCAGAGGCCCTCCAGCGTCCGGCCGGGCGGTGCGCGCGACCGCGGCCGCGGTGTCGGCGTGCGGGGCCACGCTTGCCCAGACACGGGCCTGGGCCCGCCTCCGGCTCCAGGCCGGCCCCGCATGCAGCGCCACGGGGGAAGTCCCCGCGTGCCGCTTCTGCGGCTGGGCGCGGGAGACCCGCCAGCACCTCACGGAGGAATGCAGCGAGGCGGCCGCGGCCCTTGGCGCCGCAGGCAGCACCAGCGCACCGGCGCCGCTCTCCCCAGAGCGCCGCGCCTGGCTGCTGGGCGAGCGCGGCAGCCTGGCGGCCGCGGCGGCGGAGGTGGCGCGCTGGCTGGGGCCGCAGTAGGCCATCTGGAGGGGGCTGAGCATGACGTCCCTGGGGCCCAGAACCGCCTCGCCAGCCTCGCGGCTTGTCGTCGTCGTGGCCTGGCCGGAGGCGCCGGTGCCTCTGGGGGGGCCCCTGCCCTGTCCGCTCCCCCCCTTCCCCGTCCTTGCCCGCCCCTCCCCGCTGCCTTTTCTCTCCCCTCCTCCCCTCCTCCCCCCCCCTGTCCTCCCTGGGCTCCCCCCCTCCCTTCCGCTGTCGCCCCTGCCTGCTGCCCTGCCGCGGCTCCCCGCCCCCCCCGCGGCGTCGGGGGGTTTGGGAAGCCATCCATGCCCGTGGGACGCCCGTGCCCGGTCCCCCCCAAATGCTGCCCCCGTGCAGCGCCCAGCTCACCGCGGGGCTGCCGGGGCCCCCCCTCCCGCGCGGCTCTCCAGCCCAGCCAGGGGGAGGCCGCCGGGGGAACCTCTCTCCGGGGGCCCATGGTCAGGCCTCTTTCCGCCCCGCGGTCCGCATAGCTAGGCTGCCCGGCCGCTATGATTAGAGCCCGTGCCGAGCGGCCCGGCCGGACGGGCGCCCCAGACGGGGCTCCCACAGGGCGGAAAAGGAAAAGAAAGGGAGAACGAATAGGGAGGACGAGCAGAAGAGAGAGAGAGAGAGAGAAACAACAAAAAAAAACCTGGCGAAAGACCCAACTATATGCAGTTATGAGTACCGCAATGGTGAATATTTTCTTCGGTGGCGCTCCCTATGGGGCCACGAAGCGATGTACTGGGTGGGTGAAACGCAAGGAGCAAGGGCCGTGTTGGGTGGTGGCGGACGCATGCGGGCGGTGACACTGGGACCTTCGGTGGAGCCCCCTATATGGGGCCACGAAACGCTGTACTGGGTGGGTGAAACGCAGGGAGCAAGGGCGGTGCTGGGTGGTGGCGGACGCATGCGGGCGGTGCCACTGGGACCTTCGGTGGAGCCCCCTTTATGGGTCCACAGAACGCTGTACTGGGTCGGTGAAACGCAGGGAGCAAGGGCTGTGCTGGGTGGTGGCGGACGCATGCGGGCGGTGCCACTGGGACCTTCGGTGGAGCCCCCTATGGGGCCACAGAACGCTGTACTGGGTCGGTGAAACGCAGGGAGCAAGGTCGGTGCTGGGTGGTGGCGGACGCATGCGGGCGGTGCCACTGGGACCTTCGGTGGAGCCCCCTATATGGGGCCACGAAACGCTGCACTGGAAATGAAACGCAGAGAGCAACGGCTGTGCTGGGTGGTCGCGGACGCATGCGGGCGGTGCCACTGGGACTTTCGGTGGAACCCCCTTTATGGGGCCACGAAAAGCTGTCCTGGGTGGGTGAAACGCAGGGAGCAAGGGCTGTGCGGGGTGGTGGCGGACGCATGCGGGCGGTGCCACTGGGACTTTCGGTGAAGCCCCCTATATGGGGCCACGAAACGCCATGGGTGGGTGAAACGCAGGGAGCAAGGGCTGTGCTGGGTGGTGGCGGGCGCATGCGGGCGATGCCACTGGGACCTTCGGTGGAGCCCCCTTTATGGGGCCACGAAACGCTGTACTGGGTGGGTGAAACGCAGGGAGCAACGGCTGTGCTGTTTGGAAGCGGACGCATGCGGGCGGTGACACTGGGACCTTCGGTGGAGCCCCCTATATGGGGCCACGAAACACTGTACTTGGTCGGCGAAACGCAGGGAAGAGGGAGGAGGAGGAGGAGGGGGAAGAGGAGGAGAAGAGGAGAGGAACGCGGGGACCGTCTCTTCAAAACGAGGACCCAACACCACAGGACGGTTGGGAAAAACAAGGTGAGGAAGAAGAGAGGTCCCCCCATCCTCATCCTCATCCTCATCCTTCTCCTCCTCCTCCTCCTCCTCCTATTCCTCCTACTCCTCCTCGTCCTTCTCCTCTTCCTCCTCCCGCCTACTTGGAGACCGCCCGCATTGGTTCGGAAAAGATGGGGTCGGAGGATCGAACCGCATCGTCAATGCATCGGCGATCCTCTGGGCGGTCCTGATCTCCGCCTCCTCCTCCTCCTCCCTCTTCCCTCCGCCTCCAGCCTCATCCCAGCCTCTGCGCGACAGAGGGGCGAGGAAGGGGCAGGGGGTAAAGGAGGAGGGGGCCAAGGGGCGCAGGCCACGACGTGGTCGGCTGGCCTGCTCGCGGCCATCCAGCTGCACCGCCCATGCCTTGCTGCCGGCCTCGCTGCGCGAACGACGGCGAGCGACGGCGAGGACACCGAGGAGGAAGGCGACGACATGACGACGTCGACGAAGAGGAGCGATTACCTCCTACTCCTCATCCGCGCCCCCCTGTCATGTTCGTCCTGGCCTGTCTCCAGCTCCATCGTCAGTCTTCCTCTGCCGATGGGGGAGGGGGAGGGAGAACGAGGAGAAAAGAGGGGGAGGGAGGAGGGATATGAGAGAAGGGTGAGGAGAGGAGGGGCGGGTTGCGGAGTGGGAAAGGAAGGAGGGGAGGGGGGGGGGCAAGATAGGTGCGCTCGCGTCATATCTGACGTCCTACCCCTCCCTCCCAACCCTTACCATGGCGCGGATTTTCTCTATCCGCGGACGCGTGTCGTAGCGGACCTGTGGCTCCGCGCGCGCGTGCGTAGTGGGTGGTGGTGCACGTGCGTGCGTGCGTGCGTGTGTGCGTGGTTGTCGTGGTGTGGTGGTGGTGGTGGTGGTGGTGGTGGTGGTGGTGGTGGTGGTGGGTGATGGTGGTGGTGGTGGTGGGTGGTGGTGGTGCTGGTGGTGGTGGTGTGTGGTGGTGGTGGTGGTGGTGGTGGTGGTGTGGTGGTGGTGGTGGTGGTGGTGGTGGGTGTGGTGGTGGTGCTGGTGGTGGTGGTGGTGCTGGTGGTGGTGGTGTTGGTACTGGTGCTGGTGCTGGTGTGTGGTGGTGGTGGTGGTGGTGGTGGTGGTGGTGGTGGTGGTGGTGGGTGGTGGTGGTGGTGGTGGTGCGGCGCGGTGGTGGCGGGCGGATGGGCGCGCGAGAAAAGGCCCGCGCTGGGGCGAGAACGCCATCCTGAACGACGGAGGCCAAACACCGATCCGAAAATGAGGCCCACGCTGCAGCGGGAGCACGATTCGGAACGATTCGGGAGCAGAAATGAGGCCCGCGCCTCAACGAGAGCAGCATTTTGGAAAAATGACCCCGGCGCCTCAGCGAGAGTCGTTTCCCGGGATTTCCCGGGCATCCTGTGTAAAAAAACAGTACGCGGAGGGTGCGCGGCCACCGGACGCCATCAGGGGAAGGATTCGGGAGCAGAAATGAGGCCGGCGCCTCAACGAGAGCAGCATTCTGGGAAAAAATGACGCCGGCGCGAGAGCAGCATTTTGAGAAAAAATGACGCTGGCGCCTCAGCGAGAGTCGTTTCCCGGGATTTCCCGGGCATCCTGTGTGTTTGAAAAACAAAAAAAAAAAACAATACGCGGAGGGTGCGCGGCCATCACCCGGACGCCATCAGGGGAAGAGGGAGAGTATATTCATATTGAGTAATTGTAAAGGGAAGGGGGAAGGAGTCGCGGGGGAGGAGGGAGAAACTCTGGATGGGAGTGGGGAGCAGGGAGGAGGACAAAGGGTGAGAGGATGGGGAGAATGCGTGGGACAAATCTCCTGGGAAAGGCGGGCCTGAGTGGGAGGCCCGGCTCAATAGGACTGACCCAGGAGGGCCCCTCCTGAGGTTCAAGCCAGCCCAAAAAGGCCGCCCACACGTCAGGACGGCCCCGAGAGAACGGCCCCCAGAGGGCCTAAAGGCAAGACGCCTCACGACGACCTGAGAGACGTTCCAAGACGGCCCCACAGAGAGTGCCCCCCAAATAGCCCAAGCAGGCCGCCGAGTGCCGAATGGCGGCCCCATGCCCACCAAGCGTAAGTGCAACAACTATCGACGTACCTGCCTGACCCTATCTCTCTCCCGCGCATCGTCCTTCATCTACTCGTACTCCTTCTCCTCCTCCTCGCCAGCCTCTTCCTCCTCCTCCTCCTCCTCCTCCTCCTCCTCCTCCTCATCCATTTTTTCATCCTCCTGCCTCCTCCTCCTCCTCCTCCTCCTTCTCCTCCTCCTCCTCCTTTCCCCCTCCTCCTCCTCCTCCTCCTCCTTTCCCCCTCCTCCTCCTCCTCGTCCTCCTCGTCCTCCTCGTCCACTTCGACCTTATCGTCACCCTTCATCCTTATCCTCCGCCGCCACCTCCTGAATCTCCGTGAACTCACACCTGCGAAGGCAACCAACAGCATCAAATGTAGAGGCGTCGGCGGACCTGGCAAACGTCGTCATCATCGCCGTCCTCATCCCGATCCCCTCTGCTGGCACACTTCGCCCTCTTCTCCCACTTTTCCTGTTCCTCGTCAGCCAGGTAATCGCTCCTCGTCGACGCTGTCATCCGTCTCCGCCGGCCCGTCCATCACCTCCTCCGCTTATCCTTCTCGTTCCCCTTTTCTCCACTTCCTCCTCATGATCACCCTCGTTCATCATCATGCCTGCTCCTCCTACGCCATCGTTCTCTGCCTCCCAAACCTCATCTCGTCTGTTTCTTCCTAACCCCGCCTCTTTCTCGCCTACTCTCCCTCGTCCTCCCCCACCTCCTCGCGGACGTTGGTTACGCAAAGTCCTCACATCCTCCCCGGTCGTCTTGCTCCCCCTCCTTTACCACAACGGCCCGACCACTGCTACGACAACGGCAGCGGCTAGGACGACGATGTCGGGAGGTCCCCGAAGGCTCCCTGAACCATCTAGGGACTAACGTACATTGGCAACGTACGAAACCCAAACATCAAATAAATGGATTCGCGCGCCTGGCTCACACATCTCCGTTATTAGACGGCAATGGACGTGTCCGTAGCAAAATGCGGCATAGAACTTAAGATCGCGTGGCCAGAGCGTAAACGACGGATACCAGGCACGTCCATGTGTTCGCCGACGTGGGCCCCGCAACCTGTTCTAGCATCCCATGTGATGCAATCGATGTGGTGCACTTTGCCTTGCAAGGCTTGAGCCTGTCAACGCCATTTTTCCGGCAAACGTCCGAGCAACCCTCTCGCAAATTGGTTCACACAACCCATGCGGCGGCGATTCCCATGACTGCTCGGCGCTGGTTGGTGCATCGCCTCGGCCCCGCCAGCGCGCGCAAGCTCGCGCGTACAGCGACCAGCTAGTCTGGTGCGACCGACGCGGCCCTGGTGGAGCTGACCGCTGGGGACTGCCCAGCGCGTGTCGCAGGCCGCGCTGACGCGCGGGCACTTCAGCACGACTCGGTGACTCGGGCGGGCGCGGTATTATGGCGACGTCGACAACGGCAGCCACGATGATGATAATAGCAGGAATGGTGGCGACTATGGTGAAGAAGATGGCAACTCCAATGACGCCGCCGATGCTGACAACGACGACGACGATGATGGTGCCCGCGCGGCGGCGGTGAAACCTTTGGAAGGATTTCGACACGCACCGGCGGACGGGCGCGAGAGGCCGGCATTATATCATTTAATAAGGAGCGTGCCCAATCAACACACGCGCAACCGCATTCGAACGATGCCGGCACGCCCGCGCGCGAAAGGCCTGCTTTGAAACACATTGGTTTTTACAATGAGCTCGCGCGAGCGCGCGCTTACTTGTTGAACATTCATTTGGCGCCGCGCAAAAGGGGTACGGGCGAAAGGACACGCTTTCGTATAAGAAGGCATGTATTTTGGAAAACGTGGGCCTTGCATCTAGATAAAAAGGCCCGCGGCTTCTAAGGAGCAGTCTCCTTCTAAGAAGCCTTTTGTTCCCCCTCCCCCATACCATCCCCTACGCGTGGGTGGATCACGTTGCACTACCATTGTTGTTGTTTGCTTGTCCACGAAATCGATCTTGAATCCATTGCATTCGGCACGGCGGGTAGAACAATGCAGGCATGCGCGCGGGACCACGTGCGCGTGTCGACATTGTCCTTGCGAGTGTAAGGTGTACTTGAGAAATGCTGTTGTGTGGTAAAACAACGCGCGCATAGTAACATTTGACAGGGATGAATTGAAGGGGGGCGGTACAGGCACTCCTGCGATGGTATGAATCCCACATTTAGAATACACAGCAAAGCAACATCATGCGGAAACTATACGAGCCCAAAGGGACCGAGAAACCTGGGGGAAAAGGGGGTATATCCGATTGTCTTGGAAAATGGAGACTCTACGTGGTGAATTTTTGCATTCGCAATAAATTGTAAGCGCCACTGCTCGTGCAATGATCCCAACCGCTATCCCGCAACTGGGTCTGAACACCCCATGCGGCGGCGATTGCGAAGACTGCTCGGCACTGACTGGCGCATCGCCGCGGCCGCGCTAGCGCACGCATGCTCGAGCTCAGAGCGACAAGCTAGTCTGGCACGACGACGCAGCCGCTGTGGTACTGACCGCAGGCAACTTCCCAGCGCGTCTCGAGGCTTACGCGCGGACGCACCAATGCGAGTCGGAAGCTCGGGCGGGGGCCTTATCATGGCGACGTCGCCAATGGCAGACACGATGAGGATTGTAGCGAAGGTGGTGACAGTAACGTCGGAAACGGCGGCAAATCCGATGACGGCGCCGGTGCTGTTCACGCCGATGGTGCCCACGTGCCGCAGATGAAGGTTTTGGAAGAATTTCGACACGCGCGCGAGGCAGGCAAGCGCGAGTGGCCCGCATGCTTCTATTTAACCAGGATCGCGCCCCAGCCCACACAACCAAGTCCAACAAGCGCGCTAGAGCGTTCGACTGATGCCCGCACGCAGGCGCGGGCTGCCCGCTTGGTCGCACTTGATGAACAAGTGTAACGCGAAGCCACTGAAGGTACATGTGTTCGGGACACAGTTAGGCATGGCCATGGGGCGACGCGCGCGTGTCAGCGTTCTCCTATCTTTGTGCAAGGGCTGTTTGAACACGTACGACAGTTAACAAACGAATTCGCGCGCATGGTACTGGTAGACTGGTAGACTCTATGCCAAGAGGGTCTGAGAGAAATCCAGATGGCCTCCAAGATGGTAAGATACCGCAGGGTGGCTCAAGATAGCCTCGATACGGCCCGAAGACGGCTCCAAATGCCCTCCGGGCCCTCCGAGGGCGCCCCCCAAAAGGCCAAGCTGGTTCCCATTCCTGGGGAACATGAGTGTGTTTTGCCTTCGCGCCTTTTCGCTTCCGATGGGTTCCCAAAAACGGCCCAAGAGAGACCCAAAAAGGAGCCCAAGATGGC